CAATAGAAATGTAATTTACTATTTCTTCTTATAATATTATTATTATAAATAATAAATGTTTTTTTTTTTAAATGTAATTTACTATGAATGATAGTAATGGTATGTAATGATTTTACAAACATTTATCTAAACCTTTGGATTAATTAATCTTTAAATCTTTATTAAATTATCGTAAAATAGTTAGATATTTAACTTTTTTTTTTACTATAAAGCGATTTATTTTTAATATAATAAATTTATAGGTAAAATAATATATATATCTGAAAAAATAACAGGACTGGGAAATGTTTAGAACATTCTGAGAACTGACATTGATTTTTGATTTAATATATTAATTTGATTCTAGGTAATCGAAGACTACGGGTTCGTATATGATAGTTCAATCGGTATACCTCCGTCTAGGGTACCAATATGGCCATACTCTTTAGATTATAAGATTCCACACGAATGCAAGTCTGGAACTTGCCCAACCAAATCATTTAAAGGTTAATTTCTAGAAAAAAAACATAATTAATTTGAGTTTGATTATTTCACTCTTTTTTAATTAATGTATAAATGTTGTTCATTGTTAATTTTTTTCAAATAATAATTGCAGGTACTTGGGAAGTTCCTTTGAACGCTCATTACGTGGCGACTTACGAAGGCGGTCACTGCCCGTATTTAGATCAATGTGTATTGCATAGTCATGATGCTACTGAAGTATTCGAATGGCTTCGTGAAGATTTCCAACGGTATTATTCACAAAATCGGGCGCCTTACATGATGCCCTTCCACACAAACTGGTTCCAAATTAAAGAGCTTGAAGATGGACTGCATAAGTTCATTGACTGGGCAAATAAACAGTAATCAATATTTATATAATTGCAGGGGTGAAGAGGTTGATAGCAACTTAACTAATTAAATCTCAATTTTAAATTTAGGCCGGACGTGTGGTTTGTCACAGTTACACAAGCATTAACATGGATGACTGACCCAAAGACCACCCAGGAATTGTCTGGATTTGAACCATGGATGTGTGATAAAATCGATCAACTACCTTCTCCGCCTTGTAATTTACCGAACAAATGTCCATTATCATTTAAGCATCCAGAAACCAATGTATCCGGAACTAGGTAATTTATTATAATATGCGTTACAGATAAAGTAGAAACTGAGCTTCTTATAAAATGTTCGGACGATGTATTTGTGTAGGGTGGGCAATGATGAACTTAACTTTGTTTTACACGATTATATACTTATATATGTGATATATGTATCTAAGCAGTTACTAAGTAGTTGAGTAACCAAAACGAAAGTATACCAGACTTACAGTTAATATCTTTAAAATTTGGAAATGTCTAGGTAGTAGGTACATATCTAGTGATGATAGAAAATAGAGATGTATGTTAATTATTATCAAGTGCATTCACGATCTTTATTACCTTGGTAATTTTTTTTAGTGATTCAAAGTTATGCGACCACTACCTCCACAACCTTGTACCAATCTATAAATTATAATAAATGTGATAAGCTATGATAAGAAATTAAATACGAACTGTAATTTTAATAATTTTTAAATGTTTGTCCAACTTTCTACATAATTTATTTATACGAAATATCTTCTTAATTAGAAGAATTAATAATTGACAATATGTTTAAATAATTTTACAAAATCCCGAGAAATTTACAGAATGATTGGATTTTCAACAATATACATTAGGTACATACATATGTTAAAATTTTATATTATAGATATAAATAATAATATATTTCATATTATGGTCGTATTTATACAAAAATATTTACATACGTTAAATATAGTTAAATAGAAGTATTATAATAAAGTTGTTTTGTACGATATTAGATCAAAAAATGAATAATAAATGTATGATATAATTATTAATTTCAGATATTTGTCAACGTGTAAGGAGTGCCCAAGGAAATATCCATGGCTGGGCGATTCAAAAGGAACTGGTGTTGCTGGAGCCGATGTGTACTCCCCAGACAACTTAAAATAGTTTTAAAATTATATTTTACTTTATAAACCAAAAATATTTATTATTTTCTTTTTTCATTTTTCAATTTATTTTATTTTTAATTTTTAAATCAGTTTAAATTGTTTGATAAAAACCTATTAAATGTTTAATAAATTATTTTAATAAATAATACAGTTTCTCAGCATTTTATAAATGCTACAATACAGGTTTTTGAAATTGTAATGACATTTCGACAAATAATTAATAAAAATCATAGAAATGTGTATGCATATATAATCATATAATCTATATTGTCCTAAAATAATATAGTTAATAGTTTCAATAAAGTTGCAGGCAAAACATTTTTCGTGCAATTTAGATTTTTTTATTTAATCCCATATTTCTACTATTGAAATATTCTATTAATGACAATTGACAACAGATTTATTATAATTGATTAAACCGAAAGAAATTATCTGCTGTACATATGTAAAATCATTTATATAAAAATTTACATAGATACAACTGAGTCAAGTTGAATTTCCTAATACCTTAAAATTAAATTTAGGTCCAGTTTTACCGTCCAAGGTTACACTTTGATTACGCTTAATCAGCTGATAACAAATTCTTGAAAAATATGTATAAAATAGATACCTACATCAATAATTAAATAGCAATATATAGGTATTTATATTAATTTTTTAACATATGAATAATTTTTATATCAATACTTTAAAATACAAATCATTTTTGTAATAAATTTCCAAATACAATCGTACTAGACTCGTATTATTACAAATGTAATATATTTACAAAAATACAATTTATATTTGTTTACCTACTAATAATGCCCCTCAGAATACATATTTGATAAAAACTATTTATATTTTCACATAATATATAACAGAAAACAATCTGATTTAAAGACTTAATAATCATAACCGTATTCAAAATTTCAAAATATAGTTCATTTTGTACAAATATTTGTTGGAGGTAATATAATCAATAATTTTGAGTTGAAATATTTTCTACTTTGACTCATAAGGGATATAATGTATTTATGTATGGAAGTCGACCCCAAAATTTAATCAATCAATGAAACTGTTATACCTTTTTATACTTTCATAGTTTCATGCGATATTTGAATTTATTCTTCAATCCAACTCCAACCAGCTTATCATTTATCTATATTCGAAAACGCATACCGGGAACCCACCCAGACACGTCAAACGGAACTGGTAATATTAAACGTAAATTGTTACATTTAAATAATTGAATTATATCAGGTGGTCTCAACTGTGTGTTTTTATGTCTCTTACTTATAGTTCATTGTAAATAAATTAAACATGACTAGAACGGATTGTAATTTTTTTTTTTAAAAACCTAACCTTTGCAAATGGAATATTAATTAAAATATTAGATAAGATCATCGGACATCAATCATCGTATTTATTTCAGGATTTAAGATACTTATACTATACCTAATACTATATGATGTCTATATCATATACTTTGGCCATAACGACATGAACTGTGGCCATCAGCATTTCTTCATGATCGTGATTTTTACAATTTATTATACTCAATAATATTATTGATATTACCATTGATTTTATAATTGTTATAATGATATTATTTATAAATTATAATATAAATCAAATATCAACTTTACGTGATGTGCTGGATGTGATCGACGCTGAATAGCTCTAAGATTTACACATAGATAGCGCATGCAGTTATGCGAAATGAATTAAAGAATAATATAATTCATATTCTGCTCAATGTTATTTTTGAGTTGTGAACCGGTGCTCCAGGGTTCAGACTCTTACTCAGCTACACATTAACCCAATCCAGAACTCACTGGATGCTAAATAATAATTATTATTTTAGCAATAGTATTAAGTAAGTAATATTAATTATAACGGGTAGTTAATGCCTATGTTTGAATTAGTATAGGTAGTAGGTACTCAGGGTTGGGCAGTATCTTAAATACTCGTATCTAAGATACGTATTTTAGATACAACTGTATCTTGTATATGGTATCGCCATAACTTTTTAGATAAAGTATCAAGTATTTTACAAAATAATTTTGTCAAAAAATACTCGATACTTTAAAAAATTAATTTTATCATAATCCTACCAGGAATAAATAAAATAAATAATTATATAAGTTATACAATAACGTCTACCTACAACTAAAAAACTATTATTGTGTACACGGTTATAATGTTCATTAAAATTTTTTTTCGGTATAGAATTTATTAATAGGTACCGATAATAATTTATTATTTATTAATATAATAGTTATTCTTATTTGTAATAATAATAATGATAACAACCTTAATAGTTTATTAAGTTGTGTGTAGAGTGTACATACAAGGTTATCAATAACGTTAGTAAAAACTAGCAATATGAAAACCATTTTTGAAAAGAAAAATGTACATTTGTAAAGTCACAAACGATGAATTTATCGATGAAGACTGATGGAATGTATTTTTCTTCCATGATACTTATCGATTGTGTACACATACCTCTATGTTCATTCGGTCATTTGGGAAATCGGTAAAAGATGTTGTTTTTTTCATCGTAATTACCTATTATGTTAAATAAGAACTTTATAATTTTATAGTTAATCTGCGAACTATATCTGTAAATTATCAGAATTTGATAGAATTTATATCTGAACGATTATATTATTCTTTTTTTTTGATAAACGCTTACACAGGTAAATAACATTTTTAGTTTGTACATATAATGTAATGTTAATTACGTTTTAAATTGAATTACAAAAATTGTTTGACTGGTTTTTGTGGTTAAAAATAGTTTTTTGTATACAAATTAAATCCTCCAGTAGTCCTTTATTATTCATCAAATAAACAGTACTTACTCCTGTATATTTAAGGAGCTTCGATCACCCATTGAAAAAATCACTAGTATAAATTGCAATTATATAGGTAGATATATGTAATTAATATTATTATTATATTTTATTAAACCCATTTGTTCAAAATACATTTAGGTATATAGTTATTTCAAAATTTAATGCTAAGGATATACACAATGTATTTCATCAATAATGAAGATATTCCTGAAAAAAAATCAAAATTTCTACCAAAACCGGAAATCGTATCAAAATCAGAAATCTTGCCAAAGATGGATGTTGAGCCAAAATCGAAAATCATATTACCACCAGAATTACCTACGTCTATTAATGAAAATACAACTCAACAATTGATTTCTAATGAGAATAATGCTGGGAAACGAGTGTATGGGCGAGCTAGGGCGAATTTGAGCTTCAGTTCATTTTATATATTCTGTGAAGATTTTCGCAAACAGCTTAACTATTTATACCCCCATAAAAGTGAAACTTATCATAAGACTATGTAAGTATTTACAACAATAATAGCTTTTCACATTAAACATATTTCATAAATTATATTATTCTATCGATCAAGTTAGTATTAAAGTAGAAGTCATATTATGAAAATTATTTTCAGTTACCTACTCATATTGGCTAATTATTTATACTGAATCTGATAGTAGGTACTATAGGTGGTAGGTAATAGGTATTATTATTTAGAAGCAATGTTATACATTTCACACTTCTTGATAACAATTTTAATAAAAATGCGTGATAAGGTTAAAACTTACTTATATTATCTATGTATATTATTATTGATTATTAGATAATAAGTGCCGGTAAGAAATTAGATAAATTCTAGTACCTACTCAAAATTAACATAAAAACTAAAAAGTATAAGCAAACAATTTTTTTAAAACTTTTTTAACAATGATAAAAGTAGGTTTATATCACAATATCATATACTATAAGAATTATAGTACTATAGTCTATAATATTATTATATGTTTATAAATTATAATGTATAGGTTTATAATATGCAATGTTCAACAGGATGACATAACTAATGAAATAACTTTTGTTCTTATCAATATTAAAATTTTTTTTTCATGGATAATTATTTATAGACGCTAGTATTATTTATAGCTACAACTACGGAATATAACTATTTATTTTTATTTTCTAATACTAAAAATTAAAAACTATAAATTGTTCATTGTTTTTGAAAAATTCAAAATAGCTAATTTAGAAATGTAATTTTAAAAAAATGTTAGTAAAAATGTTTATGTTAATAGCAAAAATTTAAGTCTAGCAATTAAATTTTTTATATTTTTTAAAATATCAGTATTTTTTTGAAATAAATAAATTTTAATGTAATAACTTTTGTCACAGAATTATTGTTAAGAATTTTCAAAAATAATAGTAAATCTTAAGCTATTTAGTTAATTTTCATAACTTTTTTCATACATTTAATTTGAATCGATTTTCATTTTTTGTTGGTCAGCTTTTCCTGTTACACACTGCAGTATACCTACAAACAGCTATTAAAAACTTAAAGTATTCTGAAAAAGACTTCTTCATATTTACTTAAGCACTCATTACCGATTTTCTCTTAGTCACACGTCATAAAAATTGATTTTATACAAGTTGTTACTTAAAAGGAAACTTTGATACAAGTTTTATAAAAACAATAACCAAATTCTAAATAAACTGTAACAAGTGTAACATATTGAAAGTAAATGTAAAGCTTGGGCGATTTGCGTAGCTGTACAACAAGTGTCTGGTATAAAACGATAATAAATAAATGTAATAGCCAATTAATAATGTACCACTATAATAAACGCGTTGATATTGAAGATTTTTAGGGTAGAGGGTAGAGGTCGAAAACTATGTAGAAACAATTCTACCTTTAAGTAATAAAGCTGAAGGATTATTATTATATAAATACCAAAATTCATTTTCATGAACTACTAAGTGGGTAGATTTGAAAAATTAAATGGAAAACTGTTTTTACCTCCTTAGAAGTGACTAAATAAGTGTGTATGTGCGTGCGTGAGTGTGTGTGTGTGTGTGTGTGTGTGTGTGTGTGTGTGCGTGCGTGCGCGCGTGTGTGTGTGTGTGTGTGTGTGTGTGTGTGTGTCGTGTGTGTATGTATACATTAAGCATTCAACATTATTCTGGTTATTCTGAAGAATTTATAAAGATAATATCCATAATCTCTTATTGCTAACAAGATAGACAAAACTAGTAGCCACAATAAATTAAAATAAACAAAAAAAAAGGAATAATTAAAAAAATCTGTTTGAACAACATTGTTTGCATACAAAACATTATAAATTTAATATTTTTAAATAATATACTTATCTATCTAGTCATACATTTTCTGACTGACCTAACTTAATACCATATTATAGGACAAACTTCAAACTGTTAAATAGTATAAAAAATAGGTGCTTAAAATTAAAAATAATTGTCCTCTGATCAAGGCCGTATCTGGGGGGAGGGTCCAAACCCCCCATTTTTTTCCCTTGTGGTATCAACGACGGTGCCGCCGGAACTTCTTGCAAATTTTGAGAGAGCTCGACAGAATTTTGGAGGGGGCTACAGCCTATGGCTAATCTCTAGAGTGAAGCGATGAAGGTATTGATTTTACAATGATGTGTTTTTTTTTTGTGTCTGTCTTTACCTTTTGGGGCAGTAAAAAGTGATTCGATTTTCTTCAACAGCATTTTTTTCTAGTAGGAAAGTGCATCTAGTTGGTACTTTGAGGAGTCAAAAGTAAAAAATTTCCATTAGTTTTCAAAAGTGGTAGGAAAAACGGGAATTTAACGGAAACCCGATTTTCGATAAAATTGATTTTGGTTTATGATGTAACTCTAAAAAAAAATAACTGTATAATGTATATACATTCAATTTTCTCTGATTATTTATATTAGCAAATTATATGCACAATACTATTTTTGAAGTATGGACAATATATCAGAACTTCGTGATCGATATCTAAAATTTGAAATTGTTACACAAGATTCCTACTTAAGTTTTCCTACATTTAACAAAAAAAAAAGTTTGACGGAATGTTAAATTCATTTATTACTAGTTTTGAAATTAGACATTGGGTATACACTATTCACCCGTAAATTAACAAATTCTCATAATACAACATTTTTCTTATTTTAATGAAATGTTATTTGTTGGGTCAAACCGCTTTAAAATTGAATACAACTTCATTTTAAGTTGTTTATAATAGTAGTTGATAAATATTAAAGATATGTGCGATTTTGTAGTTAAAAATTATAAAATGTTCAAGTTCATACCTAGGTAAGAATTTCAAATGTAAAACAAGGATTCACATTTTATATCGAATACAGTGTACACACAATGACATTTTTGAATTCAATTTTTTGGCAAAAATTACTTTAACCTGCATTTGTACTAATCCCTAATAGAATAATAAATTATTTTAATCATAATAATACCATATAATTTACTCAGTAAAATTATAGGCTGACAGACCGTCTTCGTTTATTATAGGTAATGATTATTAGATTCAAATTTATTATATCCATTATAGTGATTCTCTAGACACCTAATGATGAGCAGCAGAGTGTTACCCACTTATCCATATTTAGGATAATGGAGGTATTAAACATCTGAATTTTGGAACCTTTAAATATACTTAGAGGTCATATTTTTAAATCCTAGAAATTTTTTTTACCACTTTAAGGAGTTTTTTTTTGTATTCTGTGGAGATACAAACTACTGTTTTTCAAATGAGAACCCTCTTTTTACTGTAAATTATTTAATGAATATTTTTTTGAAAATTTTTATCCACCCAATTCAAAATTCAAGCGAGTAGTTTATCAGTTGTTAAAATGTTTGTTCCAAAGATAAAAGTCCTTAAAAGTGGTTTTACAAAAGTATAAAACAGATGTAATACTGGATCTAGTACCTATTTATTATACTTGGACCATTTTTACAAATTATTTATGTTGATACATTAATATTGATCGCCAACTTTTTTTAAATCACCATAGCCCCGATATCAATCAAACCCATTATCGTGGATCTATTATCCTTAGGACACAAAGTTAAATTATTCAAAAACTACTAGTTTGAATTTTGATTCTAATGCGTCAACATGTTTGAAAAAATTATCTGGTCAATAAATTACATTCGAAAAGGGGATCACATTTCATTTTAAACACAGACGTTTCATTCACCACTTGATACTCCTTACGTACTACAAAAAAATCCGAGGATTTAAAAAAATGGTCTTTGAGCATAGGCGTAGATCTTGTGAAATATTGAGGGGGGCTCACATATTTGATGACAAACAGACCTGTGGGGGCGCCCCCACACCCCCAACAAACTAATTTTTATATTAAATCAATCACAAAAAATTGTTCTCGTTGACTAGTTATCATAACAACTTAAATGATTATAAACATAAAAAAAAGAATAATTAATAAAAGATTTAAATTTATTATTTAAATTGTTCAAACCTATTTGAACTAAATATTTTATTAAAAATCTAAATCACAATCTTAAAAGTAACGTATTCCCAAGAACATCAAACAATAAGTAAAATATAATTTAGTATAAAATGGTCAATACGGTTACGGTAACGGTACGAATACGAATGTACGATACCCATTACAATGTACGAATACGATTCATTCAATCACGATAAACTTTACGATAGGTTTAATACAGCTATAGCGATAGTCCTATAATAGCTATCGCTTCTCGAGAATTAACAAAAATTTGAAAAGAAATAAACAATAATGTTTTTTCCATCTATAAATAGAACGGTAAAATATGTTATTCAATATTGATGGCCAATTGGTACAAAATATGTACAATATTAGGCACATAAACACAATATAATATTATTGTGAATTGTAACTTAATTGTTCGGTATGTTATCGTAAATAATAAATTTATTTACTTATTTTGGACATGAAATTATAAAAAAAATCGTTGGTTGTTAGATTATAGTTAACTTTATAAATAAAAAAATAATTCTGTACATATTGATTCAGAGCTTAACACCTAAAATATGTATGTTTTGTAGATTATACCTGCCTATTTTAATACAAACTCCCGATGAATGTTGATTGCTCATTAGCCATCACTAGCTCTATGAAATGAAACAGTGAAATAAATTATAAGTTCATATTTATGTAAGAACAACTTAGTAAATACTTTCTTGCCTGAGATTATTTGCTGAATTCAAAATTAAGACTGATGATTAATATTAAATTTGAATACCTACATTTCACTCCTGAAAAACAAATTATATTTAAAAATTAAAATATTGGAAAGCAATTTATTTTTAATGGGTTTTATTTAGTATTTTTAAACAAATTACAATCCAAAAAATAATAAATAATAATAATTATTATTATTAATAGTTTTTTTATACTATTTTTAACTCGCTAGACTCAACTATATGTGGAAACATTTAAATATCAGAGACAAACATAAATATTATGAAACTGCAACTAAAGCTCGCACGATGTACAATCTACCAGAACTTCCTTATCTTACAGGTAATATTTTCAATTTTTATAATTTTTCTACCAATATATCTATTATAAAAGATAATATTATAGTTAATATAATTTCTTTAAAGTTTAAACATAAAAAAATATTTTATTGCATATTAAAATAGTATAATTGCATATTTGCATTCTTATAATATAAAATTTAAATTATAAGAATGCGATGTTAAATCAGAATTAAAAACTCAAAATTTAAAAAATAAAAATAAATGTAACCACAATTTTATCAAATGAGTATAATAATTATATTTTATAAGAGTACCCCAATAAACTTATAATTATTAATTACTTCTGTACTCTCTTTCTTATTAAACAATATAATGCACAAGTCTAATTCTTGGGAACAGGTCCAGATTTTCAAAAATATAATTACATACAACTATAAATTATTGATACATAAGGTAATATTATAGAAATTAGAAATTTAAGCTAATTTAATCATAATACGTCCTTAAACCGAATTCTTTGAAGAGTGGGCAAACTCAATATTATATGAATAAATGATAGGTACTTATATTTTACTTATATTGTGGGTGAAAAATAAAATACCTTGAGAGTGGGGAAGAGTAACCCTTTCGTCTATCTTCTGATGACACTTATTCGGGGATCTGTAAAAATAAATATAATAACTAGATGTATTTTAATGGCCATCGAAGGATTTAATTAGAAGAGTAGTTTGAGAATTTATTGGCTACGTCACTTGATGAGTTTGACACATTATTATGCTTATACATATTATAATAAAATAAGGACTTAATTTAAATTTATACAATTTATTATGATAATGATAGCGCATATGAACTTAAGAATGGCCCACAAAGATGAGCAATTTGTCCAACGTCAACCCTGCAATTCTCATACCACAGGGTTCACAGAAACCACCTCCCAACTCACTCCATCATAATTGCTCTAGTTACAACTTCTCTACCATGTCTTCATCTAATTCCAATACATATATATATAGCCAGTTTTACCCAGTAGAATACAAAATAAAATGTAAATACAATTTCTAAATATCTTATAAGGAAATACATTATAAAATAGTTTTCATTTTTAAGATCTATAATTAATTATTAAAGTATTAAAGCAATTTTTAACTAAATAAAATAACTATTATTGTATAGCAATATTTTTTTATTATGTGTGTTTGTCATAATAAAAGCTTGAAAACTGACGAGACAACTTGACCGGGATACGTTTTTCGTGAGTTTACATGTTCATTGATTTTTTTCACTACATCACATTGTACACGTGTAAGGTCAAACTAGGTGTTTGCTTTATAAAGATTTATGTTATACGCACTTAAGTATTAAAATGTGCATTGCTTATTAATTAGAAAATTAATTTTTAAATAAAAATATTGTTATAATCATTATATAGAAACCTAGAATATAAGATGTCAGACATCATGTCTACAAAATATAATATTGAAGTTAAGTATATTTGCATGTTATAGTGAGGCAAGTGCGCACAACCACATTTTTTTTGAAAGTTTAAGTCTTGGAAAGTCGAATTAAGAAACTTTTATTACAATAATATATATGTGTTTTGTCAACTTCGGTTTAAATATCGCATTTCATATTAAACCGTGGAAAAATAAAAGTGAAAATTTCAAAATATATTACAATTTTTTAACCACAACAGAGTACGAGCCACGAATGATTGGACTCTTTCTTCTACTAGGTAGTATACTAGTATCCAAATTATGATCAAACATACAACAGTTAAAAGCACATCATTATAAAATATCCCGAAATATACTTTAAAGTTTAAACACCAGCATTTTTACAGAATTTTGCAATAAGCATTAAGATTGACGAAATAAAACCTCAAAATTCTTATATCATCCAAATATCATAAATATATTATAAGTATATATAGGTACATCGATAACTATATATACAATATAGATAGTTTAACAACACACGATAGTAATTAATAAATTGTTTTCATTCAGATAATTTATGAATAGTTTTTATCAATGTTTCAACCAGTACGGTGGTGAACGACGTTTACCTTTAGAAATTGCTTAGCCCTAGAAATTACTCATATTTAAAAAAAAATTCATATTTGTGTGGATGAATGTATAATTAATTACTATACTATTTTTTTTATACTAAATTATTGATAATGTCCTATAATAAAAATTATAAATTAGCATACAACTTTAAATTATATATTATATATAGTAAGGGGTGGTGGGTGGGTCATTGTTTAAATACTTTGTTTAGATTTTGAAATATGCTCTCCACGCTACTGGTTTCAACATGTAATTAGGTACCTACATTCAACAAGTATTTTCTAGTTATTTCAGTATCACTACATTAGAGTAGAATTTATATTGAAAAAAACAAATTTAGGTGAAACTTCATAATATTTATTTTATGAGGCATTATTTAATAATTATCTATTATATATTTATCGTTTTATTATACCGAACGTAGTCATATCTCTAAAAATTTGAACTTTATTACTTTTTACGAAGGATTGTGAACTCTAAATACATCACTGCTCAGTGTATTTTAGTTCATTTCTGCAATCTTGCTATATATATATTACAAATTGTAATACTTAATATTCTACTATCCATTACAAAGCCAAACTTAACGCTTCAAATCATTTGCGGACACAGCTTGATTTAAAGCCCTGGGCCACCAAAAAAATAATTCATACAAATACAGGTTCTATAATATAGCTTCCTCTTATATCTACCAGTACCACTGACCATGTATGCAGATTGCAGTGAATAAACCCACCCGTTCATGCATAACTGTACCATAAAATAATATATAACTTGAAGGGCTAATGTGTATACAATAATACGATATATATATATATTATATATTACATAAGGAAAGAGTTTATCGCGTTTACGTTTACCCCGTCACCACTTACCTACACCGAGTACACCGGTCTTCCCGACCATGGCATAACCTATTACGACGAGCGTGGTTTTTTTTCTCCCTCTGCCCCGGGGGCATACCAGCAACGAAACCTTCGGAATACTACATAGGCGACCAACGCCTACCGCGGCCTACCTCGGCCAAAAATCCATACAGTATATTATTATACAGCATGCGCCCATATTGTATAGACACACGCACACAGAAGCACCCTTAGGTGCTTAGCATCAATTCTACCACCATAAAATCCTTTAATAGTACTCTTACTATGACATTATCTTGAACAATTTGTTTTTATATATTTTCAGTCCAAAATTATTTAAAAATATATATGAATTATATGACCATTATTTATGTATATATTATATTATAATATACATGATAAATATTAGGAATGTGAACAAAGTACCTATTATACTTTTAGGCAGTTCTAATATTTCAAATTGTTTTTTTTCATCCATGTGTAGGTCGGACGTTGGTTAATCCATATGTCTTTTGAAACTAAAAAATAAAAATGTTTATGAATACAGATAAGTATAATAATAACTGCACCATTGAAATAATATAATAATTTATTATTATTTTAATACGCATTTAGAGACTAAACTCTAAATAGACGATTTGTGCCTATGGACACACACACACACACACACACACACACACACACACACACACCTGTACACGCATACTGGGTGAGTGGTGGTCGTGGTGGTGGTGGTGGTGCGACTTGACGACGGCGCCTCGGCGCCGTGCGGTCGAAAACCGATGAATTGGCCGCGGCGGCGGTATTGATTCCACTGGCGACGAACGCGAACACCGCCACTGCCGCCTGAACCGCGCGCGCCCGTGTCGGCCGCCGGCGTCGGCGTCTGTGGCGACGGCTACCCACGCGTCAACCAGCCGCGCGCTTACAACGACCCCTTCCTCCACTACCAATATGCGGCTTCCCCACAGTACAACACTTCCACCCGCACCAGCCTATCCGCTATCCATTATTATTATTATGTTCACACGCCGCCACCGGTGTAACGTTGGTGCGGCGCAAACGCACACCGAGAAAAGACTCCTGGCGACACCACCGCATGTGGGTGTGGGGTGTATAGAGTGACGGCCTAACCGTAAACGTTTCTCGCTCCTTTTCCGTTTGTTCTCCTCCACGTCCAGCCCTGCCGGTGTGGTGCTACACCGCTCCACCGAATCTGACTCGCGCAGTCGCGCTCGATGGGTATGTCAATTGGTGGTGCGCGCACGCGTCTTTATTACCTGCGCGCGCACCGAACTATATATACGTGTCAACCGGCAACCAGCACGTGCGCGCGAAAGCTCAATACGCACCGCTAACGCTCCAAAACGACACGCATACGTACAATTATGCTTACACGTACGCGTACTGTAACATACCTCACACCCACGCCTACCCAAAGCTATCATACTCCATTGCATATACAATAATATATGCATCTATGTATGTTGTTGTTTAAAGTGATACGAATTGTTTCTACCGAATTCGACGATCGCACTGCTGCTCGGACGCGTTATTATTCGTCATTATAATATTATATCATAGTAAACTATACCAATGAAGAATTATTGTTATAATTATTTTTGATATGACCGCGATTCTCGGTGAAAGTACATCAATAACATCGGAACATATTTTGCTTGGTTCTTCAAACGGCGAATTGGTAATATTACGATTTACTATTTAAATGTACGTTAAAATAAATGTACATTGACGATACCATACTCCAAAATTTCAAAAATCATTACTGTTGAAACTCGATTGTATTAACTAGAAGTAAAATAAACACTTATTAAATCATAATAAATGTGATAATATTCTGACACAACCTTAAAATAATAACCTATATTACGTATATTATAAATTATTAAACCATCAATGAAACAAAAAATCATTGATAAATATCCATATCCTTCTTAAATTAAGAGTTTATTCGTTTGATGTCCAGGTGTCAGCAATATCACATAGCATTATATTCAATGTTACTAGGTTTTTTAGTTTAATATATTATGTACATTTTACAGTAATTCAAATTTTAAGTACCTTAATATAGATGGTTATATTTTTATTTTATTCTTAAATGAAATTTAAAATCTGTACCTAGTGGCACGATGAGTAAATGAGATACTGCAATACAGATAAGATCATAAAACAATAATCAATCATTCAAAAGAAATAAAAAAGTTTACAATTACTCGAACGTAACACATGATTCCTAGTTTGTGGAAAGCAGCCACCCACATTAGAAACACTTTTATCTGGAGGAAAATTTTTTTTAAGTATCTAAATAAAAAAAAATCTAATATTTAAGAAAATTTCAAATTGAAATTTTATATAATTCTAAAGATTTTGAATTATTTCAAAATGTATATTATACCATTTGATAGTATATGTCATGTAGTTTCTTGTATTTTACAAAATATTTCGAAATTAATCTTTGTAGTTCCTCTTTCAAGTTAAGAGGACGTTACACCCACTGTGTTGTCTCCGTCTTACAAATAGACAACTTGACAAATTTACGTTATTTCAATTTCGTGTTGATATAACTTTAATATTAAAGTGAATTAACTTATCATCAAACCTAAATGTAAGAACTTTTTCTGTGTTCTCATTCTTTAGTTGATTTTTACAATATTTTAATATATAATACACACACATAATTTGCTAAAAAATTAAAATATCGCAAAACTACCAACTAGATAATACAGATAAGCGTCTTGCCTGTAACTTTGATACTAAGTTAATTCTATCACATTTAAACTAACAACATTACATTTTAACATGCTGCACGTACATTTTGCTATGGAACATAGTGGGCAGTAAATAAATTAATGCATTATTGGTAGATAAAAGCAACACATGCAAGTACCTACGACGTGCGACGTCTTAAACTTTTACAAAAATATGATTGGTATGAAAAATAATTGTTTAACGATGTTGTGAAATACTACTGCGTGTTTACTGTAAACGGCATAGTCTCTGATTATTTACATAAATTAAATGAATTAAATATAAATATTAGGTTTAATTAATCTCATAGAATAATCGATATTCAAGATGACGTGCAGCGCGTAGTATAATATTTATATTTATTTTGTGCTTATGTTTATTACATGGTTTTGTGTTTATAGTAATATAGTATTTACTATTTTATATAAATTCGCCGATATATTTAAAAGTGCATTCATGAATGCCGAAATATTCATTATTGAATCATTTAAGTAATTAAGTAAAGATTCAAAATACAAACTTACCTTGTTCTACAGATTACTAACAATTTCGTAGTAAAATAGAGAAAATATGTGTAGTTGTGTATTAATGGAATCGGTTTAATAGAAATTGAATTAATATTATTTTATTGTTAAATGAAAATGATCAAAAGTAGAAAGAAAATGATACAATATTACAAAAAAGTATTTAAAAATGTTTTTCTATAGTTTTGTTTAATTCAAATGTATTTATTACACTTTATATAATAATGACAAATGTACTACAATGATTGTCAGATTACAATAGTATCTACTACGTAGAACGTACTACGTGGGTACAACATATTATGTGAATTATACGATTAAGTGTTGAAACGTATATAGGTAATATCATAATATATTAATATGCAAAAACATAAACATTATTATAGATTCAAAATAATATCAATAATTTAGTGTATAGAATTACTTAATAATTATTATTGTCAAGATGTTATTTTTTTCAACAAACAATTAATAAAACTGTGTTATTTTTAGAAAATAGTCAAGAAAAGTTAACATACAAATTTACCAATAGTAACACTAACACAGATGCTATTAACTCCAGTGGTTCAAAAATAGTTGGGAAACTAGTAAAAGTCAAGTTTTCAAAATCATGCACCGCACCAATCATAACGCCTCTGGTAAGTGGTAATTTTTTGCTTAAACTTTAGAACTAATGAAATACAATTTTCTATAGTAATAATTATACTAGTAAATACTAAAAAAAATAAAAGAATATCAAGTACTATTTTATTAAAGGTTTCAATTTAATGATATAATATAATATAATATTACGTCATGAACCATGAGATGATAAACAACTATTAACATAGTGATATTACTGTAAACAATATTCCTATGTTACCTTATGGTTTAAACTTTAAAGTTTAAACTGTATATTATTTATATTAATTATAATAGTATACACATATTTAAGAATATTTTCTTAATGTAAACTTAGGAAGTTTAATTTTATTTATATATGTATTGACGCCTACATAATTGCAGTTCTAAAATCAATTGTGATAAAAAGATAGACTAAGGCACAAAGTAGTAGTTAGTGATTTAATAAAGACCTAATATTATAACGGCAACCATAACTTACCTAGATTAAACTAGATTGTTCATACAATGGAACATTCATCTAAATGTATTATATACAATTTCTTTAAGCCGAGAGACGCTACACCCGCATGTGTTAGACTGACACCCGCATGTATTCCACATACGTTAAATAGCAAATATACGTATGTACCGGATTCTTACTACATTTTATTCATAGTTAATATTAGAGAAAATGTCTATATTATCGAATGTTTAGGGGAGAATATGAACTGGTCTTCAGCAGTTTATTTTCTAATTTTTGTTGTATAATATGTTAAAAGTACTTGAGTAATTCATTATTATTTCATAATTATTTAAGTACAGTAAATCATAATAAATACAACAAAACAAATCTAAAAAAATTATTCATTTATTTTAAATTTGAAAATAATAACATTTTTACCAAAAAAATTATTAGTCGTTTTTAAATGGATCGGGAAACCCCAAAAATAAAATTAAGAACTAACGAGGATTTTTAGGCGAAACCAAGAACTTAGATTTTTAGAGTATGTAACTCAAAAACTATTAACCTTAGCTAAATAATAGGTAACTCAATACTCATAGGTTTCTTATAAGTAGTTTAAACTTCAACCAACAAATTTAAAAAATATATAAACATAGTTTTTTTATACATTTTTTAAGTTAAAATTTGGACGAAATTAGACATTTAAACGTAGAGTAACGATTTTAGTTTTTTTGTCGTCATTAATATTAAAATTACATAATTACTTTAATACCAATTATACCATAAAATGTACTTAGTAATATTAGGCTGAAAGATTGTTTGTGCTCAGAGTCGTGTTTTTTATTTAATTATTATTTATTTTATGTAAATAAATTTAAATTTATCACAATATCCATTACAGTCTACTCGACACCTACTGTACAGCAGAACGATAGCCGCTTACCCTGCACCTCAATTTATTTGACTTTTTGGAGCAAATTACATACACCACTTAATTAAACTGAATTAAATCTCTTTTCTAATTCCTATCGTATAATATTATTATGTTCGTGTAGACGTGTATAGGTGACGTAGTCAGTGGCGCAACTAGGGGGGGAGGGTTAAGGGGTTGTGACCCCCCCCCCCCCCCCCCC